GATAAAGTATAGTGATTGAGTTAGAAACTCACAGCTAAAGTGAGCTCCTTCTTCAAAATTATCTCGCAAACACTAAACGTCCTTTGCACCGCCAAGTCCCAAAGAGCGGAATTTGCCCAGCACAAAGGAGGTGGACAAGTCCTCCGAAGTACGCATAGAAGCAGGACACTTCATTCCACCGCACGTCTTCAACTACGCTGAAAACTGCTGAGCGAGCACTTTTAACGCGATCCCTACACCGAAACTGACGCTCTCGCTGGAAACGAAGTGCAGATGGGAATCAACCAAGCAACAGCAAATCCTGCTACACTCGCAGCGCGCTCCGAGGTCTTCTCCTTCCGCGCTGCGCGGGGAGGGGAGCGGCGGCGGCGCAGCCCCGGCTGCCCCGCAGTCCCCGCGGCGGCGGGAGGAAGGCGCTCGGCGGCCCGGGGGGCTGCCTGGCTCCCTCCCTCCTTCCCGCTCTCCCGCGGCCGGGAGCCACACCAGCCCTTCCCGGCCGCCGACACGAGCCAACAGTGGCTCGCCCGGCCTGGTCGGCGGGCCCCAGACAAAGGAAGGAAGGAAGCGAGGACGAACCGGGGCGAGGAGGCGACGGCAGCGCGGCTCCCCCCGGCGAGCGCGGCCGCCGCGTCCGTGTGCGCTCAGCCGGGGCCAACTCCGGAGGCGGGCGAAGTGACCCGGAGGGCACCGAGCGAGGCCGGCGAGCCGGAGGGAAGAGGAGGGAGAAGCGGCGGCGGGAGGAGGAGAGAGGAGCGGGGCCGGTGGCTCACCAGGATCCGCTTGAAGAGGTTGCTCTCCTTGGGCGGCAGCGGCACGGACGGCATGGCGCGGGCGGCCCTGGGACAGGCACGGCTGGCGGGGGTGGGGGCGGCCCGGGAGGGGCGGCTGTCGGTACGAGGGGCGGGAGGAGGGGGGAGCGCCGGGGAGGAAAAGCCCGGACTCGGCGGGGCGGCGGCGGCACTTTAACTCATAGCCCTGCGCCGCCCGCCCTCCCCGCCGGCTCCCCCGGGCCCCTCTGCGCAGCTGCCGGGGCGCCTCGCCGCCCGCCTGACGCTGCAAAATGGCCGCCGGGGGCCCAGGGCGCAGGCGCGGCGCCGCTCCCCCGCGCGGCCGCCCCTTTCGCCCGCCCGGCCGCGGGGCGCGGAGTGAGGTTTCTCTCCGCGATTCCCTGGGCGATTCCCGGGGTGGCGGCTGAAGCGCTGCGCTCCCGGCGCTCGAACGGCCGCTTCGGAGAGCCAGGCTGCCCGCAAGCCTGGGAGGGAGGGAGGGAGGGAGGGAGGGAGGGAGGAGGCGTTGGGAAGGAGCGCAGCCTCTGTCAGCGGCGGGGCTCGGAGAGGCTCTGCGGGCTTGCAGTGCCCTGGCTGGTATTTAAGGAAACAACAGCAAACTTGGCAGCCAGGCTTCGAGCAAGCAGGGACGGCCCCCGTCGCATTAAGGCATTTTCAGCAGTTGGTTATGTAAAACTTCCCGACACCATCGTGCGTCCATAGAACAGCGGCGTTTTTTCATCGCTTGGCTCCTTCACCGATAGAGGTCTAAGGTCTTTTATTTTTTTTTCTTGTTATTCCCAAAAATCATTCTTAAAAACAAAACCAAATCAAAACCGCCGAAAACCAGGAACGCTAAAACCACATGGCCTAGGGCGTTACTTAGAAGGAAAATTGGTTAAACTGTCAGGGTTACAATCAATTAAAAAGACATCCGATAGGGGAATTAAACTAGAAAATAAACTAAAATTGACTGCAAATAAAATATCTGTTTACATAATTAACCTTTAAAAATATTAATTATATTTTGGCATTTATTTCAAAATATATTAGTTCTGTAATGGTATGGTTAACCACCTACAGTTGCAGATGAAGAACACAATAGATATCCCCAGGTAAAGCAAGTGTGTGTGAAACAGTAACTCACAAGAGCCAATTTGAAAGTCTGTGTACTTAATATGTTATTTGGTACTCGGTGAGCAGATGGCTATGAGACTGAAGATCCCAAGCAGCATGTCCTTGACTTGACACAAGCCTTGCTGAAGCTGATGACATGATAGCTGCTTTACTTTCCAACTAACAGAGGGAACAAGTCAGTAGACAATTTCTTGGAAGAGAGTGACCTGCATGTCAGCCTAATAACTTGAGGACTAATAAATTAAAAAAAAAAAAAAAAAGATAAAAAAAAGTGGTGTGTTTAGGAAGCTTCCTGAGATGAAAATAGCAAAGATGAGAAGGTATAGGCCCTATAGTTCTTTATAGCTGAGCCATCAGCCTGTGGATGCTTTTAGTGAATGGTTGTTGGTTTCCATAGTGTTTTGTTAATCTGTCTAGATGTATGGTCTGTCATAAGGAATATCTCTATTGTGTTTATTTCTCACTTTTTTGTTCTGGCATGCTTCTAATGATGTCAGCAGGGTCACCGATCACAGCATGTGTGTTTTACACACGCAGTACCTAATTCACTGTTCTTTCTGCTCTATGCTGTAGTAGTGCTGCATTGGGTATCCGATTGTTACAAAGCAGGAGTATTACTTTGAGGTATGGCAGCCTTGGCTTTGCCCTGCAGCATCATTTTCAGAGCCTGTTTGTACCATGGAATGTCTTCAGCACTTCTAACAACTAGCTGAAGCCTCAACTCCATGAACCCTAGTTTCTGTCTTGGCAGAAGACATGTTATGCCTCTGGTTGGGTTGAATGATTGAATGATAAAACAGTGCATCATGGAGAATGGTCAGACAAATATTGTGCTAGGTGGACCTTTGATCTAAAGCAATAAGGCTGTTCTTGATAGCTAAAGGTTTCCAGATAGTCCAAACACTGGAAAGAATGCTGTCTGAAAGTAGGCAGGGGTTCAATTTGCATCTAGATGTGTCCATATTAAAAGTCTGTTAAAAGCAGCAAGAAAAGGAAAGCAGGGAGGCAATAAAAGAAACATTTGTAGGCTAGCTGGGAGAGAATAAACAAGGAAATTAGCTTTGTGGGAAGGCAGAGCTCCAACTGAAAGTGAGGTTTGGGAGTGCAGTCAAGAAAACTTCTTGTCATTTAATCCCACTGTGCTGAGCAAAACAAAGCTCTCTACAGGCTTTGTTATTAAACAGGACTGTATTCAAGATGTGTATGATTCTGTCACCATTTTTTCCTTCTAACAGAAAGATTTCAGATGCCTGAACTGTTGGGGCTGAAAGGGGGGAGTAGTATTGAAGTGTTGCATACATTGTAACTTTTTTTTTTGCTATTTTTGCGGTGTGTATCACTTTGCTCCTGTGGAAGTTGCGGGGAGATGCTCGCACACCACTAAACTCAGTTAGGGCCCCTGGGTGAAGAAGGGCCCATGTGTGGGCATGGACCTGCCTTCAAGCCAAGCATGTTGCAAGGCCTGGAGCCTTTTCTTTGCCTCCAGTTTCTAAATTGGCAGGTTAATAGTACCAGGTTTTAAAGTACAGGACCACCATATCTGTCCCAAAGCCGCAGAACCCAGCTGTCTTCCTGCTGTCACTCTTCCTTTCTGCATCCAATGTCACTGTGGACTGCTGAGGAAGGTGCTGGCATCCTGCCCCAAATAGCCCATGCCCCATAACCCCTTATGCTCACCAGCTCCATCAGCAGCTGCTACTTCAGCCATGCAGGTTTTAAGGCATCTAAATAAACTGTGAGAGAGGTAGAAGTAGATTTCATGTCCATACTCAGTTCCCATACTGCAGTCTAAAGGCCCAGGGTAAACTTAGGGAAAGAATGTATCTTACATGTTTTGGGTATGAGTTGCATGGACAGGTCCTGTGGTGGATGGTCCCTGGCAGCCCTGCTGGCTGCACAGAGTCCATCTCTTGTCTTGGCTGTCTAGCCCCTGTGTGCTTTGCTGCCTGGTAGAGAAGGGAGCAGGACTTTGTTACAGTCTCTATTTTCACACTTAAGTTAAAATATTCACCCACAAGGCATAATAAACACTGAACATAATCATGTTGAATCAGAGGATTTAATACAAGAACCATTACTGGCTGGAGTAGAAGCTGATTTGATTTTCCTTGGCCTACCTTCTTCTTTTAAAACCAGTTTTGCAGCATGAGGTCTACTGGCAGCTTCAGATTATTAGGTTCTTGGTTGTCCTCCCAGAGAAGACCTTCCCAATACTTTTAAGTATCAAATTGCGTATTTAGAGTACCAATGTGAGTAGAATTTTATTATTTCATTTCACTGAGCCCAGAAGTCATAGTGGAAGCAGAGTGAGGTGTCTGGGAATGGTGTCTGGCTGATGGCATCTCTAATGGCACATCACTGTGGGCTCAGGCCTGGGGAAGATTTCAGGGTGCTGTTTCCTGTGGCCCTTCCTGTGGACCAACTCCAGGGTGGTTTCTGCTCTCTGGAAGTGGTTTTCCATCTGTCTGTCTTGCCTCCTGTACCTGCAGGTAGAGCAGAGCCAGAACCTGTCCTCAGGCCTAAACAAGCGGTTTGTTGTCATTCAGATGCTGAGCTTTGATCCAAATCCTACCCAATGACAGGTCCCATTTTCAGTATTTTAGAATATTTACCACACCAAATTCCAGTGATGTTTTATATGCCAAATACAAAAGTTTTACCTTTTTCTTTTCCTTTTTTTTTTTTTTAAATTTTTTAGAATGACAGTAGCTGAGAAGAAAGGTATTTTGGTGTAACCAATATAAAAAAATTGCTTAAGTATTTTTAAAATTTTAATTAGGGAGGTAATGATATAATGTTTAACAATAGCTTTTAAAATATCCACATACCTAGTATGTTTTAAAACATACTTGCTGAGGAAGCTGCAGCTAACTAGCATAGTCATAAGCAGAATGGTAATTTTTATTAATATTTTGTTTGCCTTTAGTAGAATAGTAATAATTCCATTTAAATAGAATTGAATAGTGAGCTCTGACACAACGTGGAGCTTAATGTTATTTTATTCAGATGTCTCTGAAATGAGTCTTTTACTGACCAGATGGGAAAGGCGGACGCTGCCTTTGCGGCCGGCGGGGCTCAGGCGCTGCCGCGCGGTGCCGGCAGCGGGGCACGGGAAGCGCGTTTTCCCGCAGGAATGCTGGGACGGGCGTGCGCCCGCTGCGCTTCCCGTCTGCCGCGGGCCGGGCCGGGAGCCCTGCGGCCTCCGGGCGTGCGGATGGTGAGTGCCGGAGCGCCGCCGGCTCCCGGGCAGCGCAGCCCCCGCCCCGCCGGCGCGCCTGCCTCTTCTGCCCGCTCCTGCCGCCCCTCTCTCCCCGCTCCTGCCGCCCCTCTCTCCCCGCTCCTGCCGCCCCTCTCTCCCCGCTCCTGCCTCCTGCCTGCTCCTGCGGCCCCTCTCTCCCCGCTCCTGCCGCCCCTCTGTCCCCGCTCCTGCCGCCCCTCT